CGCCGCCGCTACCGCCAGCCACCCCCTCCTCGTTATCCACCACCGCCTCTGCCCCCCCCATACGCCGTCGACCCCAGCGTCCGTTCGCCGCGTCCTTGTCTGGTTCGCCGCTCTTCGCGGACGACGCTCGCGATCTTGGCTCGTGGCACGCCACGCGCATGCGTCACGGCACCACTTATTCCCCCCCCCTCTTCTCATCCTCCTCTTGCCACTTCCTCATCTACCAATGGAGGCCAGGGCCAATGAAGAGTCGCAACGCCGTGTCCCGAGGACGGCTCTACGTCTCTATTCCCGAGAATCCTGGAGTGCTGCCTTCCAGGCTGCCGGCAGCCGTTGGTCCTTCGCGGGTCTTCGACGAACGATCCGAATCGCCTCAACATCCGCCCGCCCCTCTTACACGTCCACGCACCCAACCACCCGCCAATCCCACGACGTTGACGCGCGTTGACAACGAGCTTTTCACGCTGCTCCCAGCCGTGCAGCCCCGCGCGGCCTTTCGAAATTCCTCTTATAAATCATGGTTTCGTAAGGTAATATGTATATATATCTTTACTGCCATGTGCCGCGCCATCAACAATGGAAGTTATTTTAATACTGTCGGAGTGCATTGGCAGTCGGCGGCTTATTGCAAATGTCACCCCGACGCAGCTTGGGAAAATTTTTATTACCGTTACTTTCTCGACAATTCACTACGAGAGTATGCGATTCGAAATGGATACCGTCGCCGGGCTTTCAAGCCCGCAATCATAATTCCCATTCCTGGCTATTATCGTTCAACCTTTTATGTTACATAAGAATATAAATGAGTGGTCGTATATAAATTATGAGGAGCGGCAAGTGGAATCAAGCGGTGCGATAATGGACATTTATTTCGTATTTTCAAATCTCTATACATAATTCACGAAAAATTAAAAATAATTTATTCTTTCGTATTTTTATATACTTGTGTTTATTATAGATTAAATGGGCGGAAGAGTCGGAAAGAAGGTAAACTTGTCAAGCTACGATATTTCTTTGTTTGATTTTTGAAGTTGGTCAACTTTCTGACGGTAGCTCTTCGGATTTTATCCAATAAAATTACGAAGTCGGTAAATATTTGCTACACACCGCTCACCAATATCGGCCTCCACGGCTATTGAAATGAAATTGTATGAAAATGACTGACTAATATCTAGTGTATAATGGCACTTCTCTTTTATCTCACCAAATCCAAAGAATCGCTGCATTTAACAGTTAGTTTGGTAAAGTAGCGCGAAATTCAAAATTCTGACTTGATTATTCTCGTCCATAACTCCTGTTTCCTAATAAAAAATCGTATCAATTGGTATTAATTAATATTCATTTTAATCATCCAAACGCCTTTAAGTGTAATTGCCTATAAATATCCCAACTCCATTTTACTTCAATCATTATATAGTACATTGTGCTTTAAAAAGTCGGACTTAGTTTTTCGTTCTTTTATATGAGTGAATAATTTTTAATTGACTGTTTGCAATTGATAATTAAAAATATTTATACGAATGGACACACAACATTAACACAACATTAACACAACATTAATATAATATTAAAGTATCATTAAACAGTAGTTCACATTAAGCTTACAAATATGTGCTTTAAAAAAATTAAACGCACACATAATTCAATCAATTTATGGTTTCAATTAAAAACTTTTCCGATATTAAAATAATCTATTTTATTTTCTAAGGACATTCAAAAATTGGCGCATTTTAGACTTCAATCATAAATTCATGCAATGAACATATCACTTTATCAAAGATAAAATATCTGTTGCAATGTGTATTCAACGGTATAATAATTATAATCAAATGGTAATGTTTCTATTTTGTATATTTTATTGTAAATGTTTACATTTTTATAACGTAAAAAATCATCGTTAGTAATATGAAAATACTTTAATTTTACTATGTATGTATGTAAAATTGTATTATTGTTTTCATAATTCATTTTATTTATGTAACCGATTTTTTTTTTTCATAATTTTACATCATTGTGTTTTATTTTAAATTGTATATAATATTATTATCAAATGATTAATTTTTAAGCAATATGTAAATATATTTAACAATAACGAAATAATATTTGAAGGTTAAGGACAATTAAGTATTTATTTCGTATTTACATCTTCATCTTAATATCAAAAGAATTAGGAAATATAAAAATTTCTGAATAATCATGAATATTTAAATTCAATTGATATAACCTTATTTTAATTATCATCAAAGTTTAAATCTAAATAAGATTTTTAAGATTTGAATATTAATGTACCCATACTAATAGCGATTGATATTAGCTTTTCATAAATTTCAAGTCAAATAATTACATAAAATATATAAGGATAAGAATTATTATTAATTGAAAATACATTTACACTATTAAAATATAATAGTATAAAATTTGTTATACCGATTATGCATAAAGAGCAAATAATACCAATTTGTTGGAATCAAGTTTTTATATTTGATTTTTTAAAATATATAATGTTTATTTTGTTATAAATTAAATATAATTTTTCTGCGCTAACCGATAAATTTGTGAAATACATGAAAAATTTACTTTATTTAACCAATAGATTTAAATTTCTAAATTGAAATGTTTTTTGTTGTTTAGTTGAAATTGTAAATGATAACGATAGATGACTTTTAGTGAAACAAATAGTTCATATTCGTTATTGTGTTTAAAAATATATATAATCTAAGGAATATATTGGAAATATTTAACTATATAAGACTTTAGCTCTTGTATAGATAAAGCTTATTGTTTTACAAGATATAAAAAACATTCGTTATGCTCCTAATGCAGCTAATGAGTTAAAAGACCATTTAAAAATTTAAAAATTAATTTAAAAATAATAAATCACCATATAATAAAACCACGTCTAATAATAATAGTTTTAATAATAACATAACAAATAAATCAAACCAGTATAAATATAAAGATTAAAAGAAAAATCCAATCATTAAAAAATATAACAAAGAAAATGCCTTCTTTTTAAAATAAAACAATAATAATTTTATCGATGAGTGCTCAGTTACAGTTATTAAGAAAAATCTTCAAACAATTATCTATAAAAATTACTTTATGCGGTAAAATAGAAGACAAAAATATGAAAGAAATTGCGTGCTCTCCATATTTACCATTTCTTATTTAAACACGAAAATTATTTCATCTGCTTGTATTTGTTACTGCCATGTTTACTTCAAATACATAAATGATTGCAAATTAGTAGATTTATTAGGTCCAAAATTACTTAAATTATATTTAAATAATTTCATAAAAGAACCTCAACAAAGTTAATTGCAATATGCAAGTAATGTAATTGAATTTTGTGTAATGATTTATATCTTAGTTTAATTTTAATTTACATACAAAATATTAAATTTTAAGATTTATACTGAAGTTGTATAAACGCAGATATATATAGTTGTAAAAACAAATTGAAAATCTTTATATATCAGTATGACAGCTATTGACATAAATCAATGTAAAAAGAAAATAGTATAGTATTTATTGTTTATCATTTAAATTAAATTTAATTTAATTTTATCAAAAATAAAATGTTATCAATTTCAAGTCAATGACAATCTAAAGACAATGAAAATGTAAGAATGACAGCCTAAAAATAATTCCGTTCAGGTTCACAATACAGATTGATTCTTTTCATTTATTTATTCATTCAATTTATAATTATAAATAAATATAATTTTCTTAGTTAAATATTAGACTGTATAATATCTTAAAATAGCAATTTTATATCAATAAGGAGAGCTTAAAATTGAAAATTGAATTATGTTATGTACAATGCGTATGGTTATTAGAGTTCTATGAAAATATCAATTATGAACAGAAAAATATAAACGACCCACGTGCAGCTACGTATTCCTTTTTGTAGAAAGAGTCTCTATTTATTATATAAAATAAGTGCTACCCTACAATAAAGCTGCATAGCCGACGATCGGTTATCGGATTGACCCTGATGTGGCAACTACCAGCGACAAGAGGTGGCTGACCCCACCTCTTTTCTATATTCTACAAGAGAGGGTAAATCCTATGAACAGAGGTCCTTTATCGATGAGTGAAGAAAACCGATTTGGGAAAGAATAAGGAATTCTAGGTTGAGAAATATTCATCATCGGCCTTATGACGAAATTATACGAGCAGCGCTTATAGAAAACCAGAGGTATCAGGGATGGGAACCAATTGCTGGGTATTAGTTGTTAATTCAGGAATATATCGCGTTAGAATGAATCTGTCGTAGTTATTATGTTTTCAATTATAAAAGCGTCAATTTAAAGTAATTCTGATGAACTTTTAAGCTCATTATCCATTATGCTTTATAATAGCATAATATGATATAATTATTAGAATAGAAAATAAGAGTCAAATTTGGTAAGAAATTTTATCTGTGTTACAGTATTTAAAAATTAATCAAGTGAATTTATTAATACAAATTAGTATTGGAAAAGTGAGACATCCAATTTGAATTAGGAAATTGCATACGCCAATTCGATTTCGTAAAGTATTTTATAAATGAAACATTTTATTTCATGGATAAGTAGCTCTGTCTTTTGTTCATACAAAAATATTGATATAAAAATACTCTTTATGTGTGATTGTAATAGCAGTAAATATAATATGTATTTAGTAATATATGCAAAACTTAGTAAATGTGTGCAGTTGTGTTTAAAAAATTACTTCGTGAAAAAGAAAGTTTAATTCGACTGTATAAAGCACTGATAAATATTTCAAAATTTATTATTAGGATTTATTGAATGCTTGGTTAAGTATTTTTGCGCGATCCAAAATAATCTATATATCTTGTAATTCGTTCATGAACAATTTATGTATTTAATTAAACGTTAAAATAAATTTTCACCTCTTATGATATTGATTTTTGTATGAAATACATTTAGGTAAAAATAAGAAACTTTTTTATAGGATTTTTTTTTATAACTTTTTATAATTTATGTTCTAAAGCGAAATTTGTTGTTTGTCTCAAGTAAAGATTCATGCAATTATATAAAGTTGCATAATATTATTGAACAAAATCTTGATGTTGAAAAGTATTTTGAAAGGAATATATTTACAAATTTTCAAATTTCTTTTTTACTCCCTTATAAAACGGAAATACTATATTTACTCTTCCTTAGCTCCTTTTTAGCCAGTAATATTGTATAATTACAAAAATATTCAATATTATTATATTACGGTATACTTGTTTTACGTTAGATTTTTTACAGCTGAAAATGAAATCAAAACATTGAAAAAGGAAGAGGGTTCTGTTGTTTTGCATACACCCATGTATGAGAAAATATCTCATGCGCGTGGTTATTGACGTCATATTTCGTCACATCGAAGTCTAAGCTGTGTTAATGCTGTGAATTTTTTGATTTTGAATTCTTTATCGCACCTCAACGTATATTTTTAAATTTAAGGATAATAATATAAAGATTTTTTTTATCAACGACAGAGTTGCTTATATTATATAAGGATTTTTTATTCTTTTTTGTCAACAAATAGGTATTTTATGAAAATGGCGCTAGTACTTGATGGCAATAATAATAAAATATTTATTTAGAATTAAGGCATGTGAATCCATTTCTTAGTATTAATTTTTGCGTGATGTTAATTTCAGATCGTGTAGAATGACTTCGGAACCACTTTGGTCAAGAAATAAAAATGGTGAATACTGTCTAATATTTCCTAATAAACATGCCGTTAGTTTCAATGAAATAAAAAGAATATTTTCAAAATTTGGAAATGTTACACAAATTAAAGTAGCAGGTAATAAAACGGGATTTCATTTTATACAATATTTAACTTTAAATGAAGTAGAAAGGGCAATCAATGGATTAAAAGAACATGCAACTATTAAACTTGTACTACATCGGCCACAGTGCTATTCACAATCAAATTGTAATGTTAAAAGGAAAGTGCAAGTACATACAATACAAAATGATCAAACTTCCAAAATGGAAAATCAAGGAAAGAGTAATAATACCATACAATTGGGGCATAAAGTTAAAACAGAAAAACTTTTAATTGAAAATTCAGAATGTGTAAATAGTGATAATAATATCCCATGTGGTAGTGATAATTCAATTAATAGCTATTATTTAAATGGACAATATTTGTCAGGAAGTGAAAGAATTTATGCTAAAAGTATGAATGATGATAGTAATACTATGGGTAAACAAGAAGTCAAACCAAAGCATTTAAATAGTAATATTGAAATATGCGAGTATAATTCAGAGAATGAAACAGATTATACCAAAACTGATGATGATATTCCCAATCTTGTTAAAAGAACCAATTCAAATGCAATATCCAAAATACAAATTTTGGATGCAGAAGCAATTATAGTAGCCAATATTCATGAAAATTATGGTTGCGGATATATTTTGCACTTATTTGAACATGCTAGGCCATTAGCCATCAGTTATATTACATTATTGCCAAACAGTAATACTCGTTATTGTTATGTTTATTTTGAAACATTGAAAGACACGATAGAAATTGAACAGCACTTTGATAAGTACAATTTGTCTGGAAAAAAATTAATTGTATTAAGACCTTCTAGATTGATAGAAGAAGCTATGAGCAATTGAAAATATTAAATAGATTTATCATATTATTATAAATAATAAGTATAAAATTATAAAGCTATAGTTTTTATTACATATTTTTATATTAAGTATATTATGTATTGAATTTATGAAAATTTTTAGATAAAATATTGAAAGTTTATGTCATATATAAATATATATGCGTAGTAGGATAAAAAAAACAACTTCCACATCGATATAAAAATCATAGATATTATTTTTGAAATTGAATTTTAATCATTGAATCTGATCAATTGAAGTTTAGTAACTTGGCATTTATTAAAATTTCATGATATGCATTCATACGTAAACATATTTTGATGACGTAATTTTCTATTCTATACACCAAAAATTTTCAAATGAATTATTATAAATTCTCAGTCTCAAAAAATTATATTGAAATTATATGATATAATATGATATAATAATTGTAAAATGTATTGTTTATTGATTTACTCCGATAGGATTTGGTACAAAATTTAAATTTCTATTTCCATGCAATAACGGTATATTCAAAATAATTTAGGATACCGTATTATCCCTTTATACTATTAGCTTTTATCAACAGATTTATAAAATTGGTCAAAATTAATGTAAAAAAAAGAATAAATAAAATATCAGTAGAAGAGCAAGCAGTGCACTGTACTAATAAAGGATCCACTTCTCATTAAATTTGTAGATTAATCATTGAAGTGTTTATTTACCTAAAAATTATTATATAAATTCATTTGAATTTTTAAATTTGAAAATTACCGCACGAAGCCTAACTTTTTGAAATTTATTTCAAGCTACTTATTTAGAAAAATAATGTATGAATAGCAGTTTTTATATTTGCACAGCATTCAGAAATAATGAAATTTCTGTTTAACGTTTTAAAACAATTTTGAATTTTTGTTGTAAAAAGTCTGTTTCGCGCTCTGAGTGTAGGCAGACATACCAATATGTAGAGATGTAAGCGTACAAAAATCACTAAGCAAGCAACTTTCTTTATGAATAGCCTTTTCTACTATTCACAGAGATAAATAAAAGGATATACATTCATTCGCGAATGTTGTTAAGGATTTAAGAATTACTCCCAAGAAGAAAGTCAGGAGGTAAAAGAAGATATTTAACAGTAGCAAAGAGCATCGGCCCGTTTCCCCGGACCCTGACTTTCAGACGTCATACATGTATAGGGATAAATATATATTCTACACTCCTATATCCTACAATATATACTCTACAATCCTATTGACTTAGCAGATCATCAGGGGTGCAAATATACAGGGCAGGAAACATGTTTCTTCGTTCATTAGCTTCACCGTAAGAATATCGATACTCACGCCCTCTTCTGGAAATTCCAGCTTATGATATGCAAAGAAAATTATATATCCATAAATTTTAAATGCATTTGAACTTTGTTTTTTATTCGATACACGTGAGTAAAATATGAAATTAAAAATGTCTAAGCCTTTTAATATAAAATCAGTTAAGCGTATGCTTATGGAAGAAGATAGATTTATATCAGACATTTTTTCTAAAATGCCATTACCTTCGTACGAGCTTGGTAAGTACACATATTTTCCTTTTTAACCTTAAAAGAATTTTAAAATTATATTAAAAATGAAAATGTATTTTTCAGTGGCTCAAAATGAACATTATGAATATCAGAATGAATATTCAAGTCGAAGGAAAGGTATATTGTATAATATTGAAATGTTTTCATTCTTTTTTAAATTAAACTTCAAATTCATGAATAAGTGTTTTTACAGAAAAAGTATTTTCTGGCCCAGAGGAGAAAGGAAAAAGGGCACAGACATTTGAAGAATTACATGCCAAATTTAACGAACTTAAAGGTAAAAAGTTAAATTACAAAGATAAGTTAATTAAAAAAGGATTGAAAAATAGGATACAAAAGAAAACCAAAAGAGAAGAAAGATTGATGAAAAAAAAAAAGATTAAAATTGAAGAAACGTCCGTTGAAGATATAAAAATTAAAGAAGAATCTGACGTACCTAAAATTCCAAAACAAAAACCTATATTTAATTCTAAAGGTAACATGGTATTTAGCAAGTTTGATTTTTCTGAAATTGGAACCAAAAAAAGCCCTTTAAAAACTGAAAAGAATCCAAAAAAAATCTTACAAAAATTGCAGGAGAAGAAAGAAGAAATAAAGCAACTTGAAAAGGCTGGAAATAAGGAATTGGCTCTTGAAATAAAAGAGACAGATATATGGAAATCAGCTTTAGCAAAAGCTACCGGTGAAAAAGTAAGTATAGTTGTAATTACATATACTAGATATAAATTTATTGTTTCATATCCTATATACTATAATAATGGTAATGTTATATAAAAATTGTATCGAAAATTTATTATATTATTTATTTATTTTATATATGAACAAATTATATTTTCTAATTTTTAAACAGTGTTTAAAATTAACAATAACTAATTTAAATACTAGTATAACTAGTTTAAATATAACCTTCCGATCTCAGTTATTATGAATATCATATATCTTATAGGTAAAAGATGATCCCGAGCTTCTGAAACGAACGATAAAGAGAGACGAACAAAAAAAGAAGCAAAGTAAAAAGAAATGGGAAGCTAGGAAAGAAGGAGTGCAAAAATCGTTACAAGAACGGCAGCAAAAAAGGTTTGATAATATATCAAAGAGGAAAATGGATGTGAAAAAGAATAAAATGAAAAAAGCTGCCAAAAAAGGCCGTGTCATTCCAGGTTTTTAGGATAAATTTTATAGATAATTTATTATTTTAATTAATAAGATCTATTATAAAGAAAAAAAAACTGTTACTAGTAATAAATGTGTCTTCATTTATGAAGATTCTTAGATTTTTATTAATTTTTTTTATTAAACTTTCTGATCTATCAGAAAATACAAATATATTTTTATTAAATAAATTTTTACATATTAAAGCAAATTTCGACATTTATGTTTCCGTATATTACTTAAAAATTGTGCAACATATATTATTTTAAAAGAATATATTTATATATTTTAGATAAGAATATATGAAATTATATTTTAAATATATTTTCATATACACGTATATTCACATATATACAGTGTAAATGTGAATATATATTTAAAATATATTTTCATATTTACACTGTAATAGAACAAATAATCAAATATTCTACATTTTATAAACCATACGTTATATTTAACGTTGAAGGTAATTAACAAGAGTCAACACCTTTGATGCTGCAATTGCATAATTCCCAATCACATTATACATCATTAAAGTTTCTCAAACTTAATTTATATACATTCAACTTTTAGCCTAAGCAGTGGCACATAGCTGGTTATATACATATACTAACTTTTACACAATTCTTTTTTATCGTACTGTAAAAACTTTCCTTTTTTTTTTTTTTTTTTTTTTATGTGTATGTTCCAAATTTATAAATGAAAGAAATGTATTATCATCGACATTTGCATTTCACATATAAAATTTTTAGTTGACTCTTAACTTTATATTATAGGGTTTACTTTCTTTTCGAAACATACATATCAGTCATACATACAAAAGAGAATAATATCGTAAAAAATGTTTATGAACATATTAAAAATAAGAAATTTCATTTAGAAAATAATATGCTACTGTATGTAAGAAATATTGAATAACTGTATTCTTGATAAAATTTACTTTATTCTATATTTAAAATCTTGTGTATGCCAAAGCATAGTTGTTATGCAGAATTTTCACATCTACGTTATTTGACTTGTCTATAAGGTACTTGAATTTTTTGTATTTGTCCTTTCATAAATTCATTCCCAATGTGGTAAATGAAAGAGTAGATATTAAATGTTTATAAATTACATTAGACTCAGTTGAATATTTAATCATAACAGGTGGAGTTATTCATCGTGGCATCTCCATTTAGCCTTTGCATTTAATTGTTTTTTATGAATTATTCTTTTAATAGAGTTTTTTACTTTCCATTTGGATCTCTTCACGAATTGGAAGTTATTTCAAGGACTTTCTACAACTGTAGTTACAAGCTTTTCTATTTAATTAGAATTTGACACTTCTGAGGGATGTAAAGAAAATTACTTATCTGGATTCCATATAAGAGCCAAATAATCTTTCTCTAATTATCATTTCTTAATATTGATTTCTTTAATTTGATAATTTAGTATGTTCCATAAGTTTGCTCAACAGCTGCGGACACCAATCATATATATCCTCTCCATTAAATAAATTTGTTATTATCTTTACCAATATTGTTTAATGTAAGTGTTTGGAAACTCGTTTCTGTTCTCATGCAATTGCGTAGAAATCGTTGGGTGCACTAATTCCTTACGGCAAATGATATTTGAATATAAATTAAAATTAAAATTAAAATAAATAAATTACATTATATATTATAATTAATGATAATTAATTCCTTCCTCGGTAAGAATCTTCACAATGTACTGGTTTTTCAAATCTGTCGTTAAAATATCATCAAGTATACTCGGCATATTCCAATTGAAAAGTAACTCGAAGACTCTATCGTGCGCATAAGCACACAAACCAAAGTCCCTTCTAAATCAAAGGTAAGATGTTATATTGTTATTGAGATATCGTTTGATCCTAGTTTATTGTAAACATTGTGTATCGGTTCAATCCATATTCATTCATTATTAATAGACCGAGTGTCATTGATTTTGAAATCATCATACCCATAAGTATACCCCCGCTGGTCCACATCTAATTATCATTAACAATATAATCTCTTGCTTTTTCTAATAATTCTCTAATTCTCAGATTAAAACGTTGTAAGTTTAAATTTCTTCGATCTAATCTATTGCAATGCAGTTCACTTTGTGCTTCAGGCTCTTCGTTCATTTTTATTCGTTCAAATTACATCGGGAAATTTCCTACAACTTCCATATTTTTAAATAGTTTTCCTTGACACAAGATGCATTGGTAATCTGTATTTTCTTTCCTTCGGCTCCATCCGAGAAAAATATGTAGTACATTAGGGCAAATAACGAAGACGATGGGTACTCGTTTCATGTAGATGCATACTTGTGTTTGTCGTGTAGAAAATGGGTTATCATATCCGGTTAAAGATGCACTATCCGTTTCCTCTATTATCTATGCTTTTCTGTCCTCACCAGCTATTGAAATAGTAGAACCAAGGAGCGATCTTTCCTATTTTATATGAAACTGGTGAATTATATAAAGGAACGTTCTCAGAATCTCATATTAGCCGATACAATAGCCCTTTGGTTATTCTTTCCTCTATTCTTATGCTTTAGGTACATGTCAAGTTATGTTTTATGATCTAGATAAAACCGATAAGTGATTTTATTTTATTTTTTAAGGTAAATTGAAGGTATTTGCACTGGTGCTGATTTTCGGTGCGTCCAAGCGAAATTTATGTGTATTTTAATACAGGCCGAGTTTTTAATGTCGAAAACCATTTGTTTTACAAATATTTGTTATAAATGTGTATTAAATAGGGAATAATTACGAATGCAAGGTATTTTTGTTATTCTGAGTGAGATAAACCTTAGCTAGAATTTCCTTATAGTAGTTACTTACGAGTCATTTGTTTATTATAATATGTAAATCAATATTTATTAAGCCTCGTTAAAAGTTTTCTAAGAATGCATTAAAGAATTTTGCAAAAAATATCTTATTTACAATATAAAAATGTATTCTACATAAAATTGTACCTAATTGTTATAATTAATTGTTTTACGCACTTTGCTAGAATAAAGTATGTCGTTGAAATATGTGTAAAATAAAATATTAAAATTTGATTATCATGTATAATTTGCTATACGATATATTAATGTATTCGATTATATTCGTTTATGTATGATAAAATACATATATTTGAAAGTAAGGAAACAGTATTTTTCTATTCCAAACAGCAACATTTCAACGTTCGCGCATTATTTATAAAACTAAGTGTTTAACTCAGTGCAAACTATTAATTCCAAAGAAATTTGTCTCTGAGTATATTATTTATTTTATCATCAAATTTATCTAAATAATTTTGACGCTTCTTCTTCCTTATTATTAGCGTACATAGAACGTATAATAGTAACCTCTGACATTTTCTTATGTGATTTTTATTAGGAATGACCGGTAAGTAAAATCTTTGTCAAGCACACTCCTATGTATATTCATTTAATAATACATCCGAATAAAATTTACAATTAAATGCGCATCTATTTTAAAATGATCGAGCGTTATCGGATAAAACATTGAAGCTAGGTATTCGCATTTACAGAAAATCAATATTATTGTACAAACGGTTTTGCAAATGATACGCTTCTAATAATTAACAAGCTGCGAAACTTCAATGGACATGAAAAATTTTACGATTAGTTGGTCTTCGTAACACTGCAACGTCAAGAACATAACCTAGTATCGATAAAACGTTCCTTTCATAAACTTCGAAAACACATTTCCCTTCGCATGAGTAATATTGCACATTCTCAATTAACAATGGCACTGCTCCCCCTGATATGTTGTGCGAGGTGGTAATTTTATTTTCAAAGCCAATATTCATTCAATACGGTAAAAGCGCAAATTGTCAGTGAAAGTGGGAGCGGTACTTTTTTAAACGTCGATGAGTACTCGGGAAACGATGCAATAACCAGGACAGCAGAGGAAGATGTACGAAAGGGTGGGTAAAGGAAGAATCCGCGTCCGAGGTCCGAGTATCGGGCAAAGTCTTGCACGGAGACCGAATTAATGCTCGTCGATGGGGCAACTGATGAAAACTCGAGTGCCGCGGCCACCGTTGTCGTCGCTTACACGGACGAGTCTCATGGGCGAGTCTGTGACTGCCGAGGACAGCCCAGACTGCGATTCGCGTCAGTAGATAATTGGCAGGTCCAGGACGAGAGCTCCGATGAAGCTCGCGCCTGGAGATTCCTGCTAGGTGCTCTCGAGCTCGTCGTCCTCTACCCCACTCGCGTTCGTCAGCGTCGTCCACAGGGGGCTGTGATCCACAGGAACTGGCACCAGATTCGATCGAGAGCTGCGTGGCGATCTGCAAACGTCGATATTATTTAAGCGTGAGCTTTCGTTATATTTGCCTCGTAACGAGCGCCCTTCACTTCCTCTCCTTAACATTGGCTATTCCATAGCGTATGAGCTAAGGGCTTGCAACGGTGCACTTTTGACACGCCGTGGCCAAAGTTTTTCAACTTTCAAGGCGAATGAACGTAATTTTATTATTTTCTTACGATTAAGTGATTGGAACGTAATTGTTTACTAGCTGCTGTTTTCTTTGAGCAGCTACAAAGCAAAATAATTACAAGCCATCTCGGTGCAAGTTAATTGCTAAAATTTAATTCTTTTTCGGAATTCTTTGATATTCATTCTACTATGTAATTAGTGAATCTGCAAGTTGTTGGTATTTAAATAATTTTATTGCATTTATTTAAGGCGTTTTACGAGCAATTTACAATCGAATATATTTATTACGTAAGCATATATTTTAATTGACGATAAAAATGTTAACTATTAATTGCAATTTAAATTAGTAAAGTCAACAATTATATGCCTTAGAGAATATATTCAAGTGCAATGAAGTATCGCAGATAAAAAAAAAATAGAAGTATATTTTTAATAAATATGCTAAATCAGTCGGGCACATGTAAACGTTTGTTTGCGAATATCAGCAAGAACTATTATTACAAAAATTATTTCTCAACACGACTATGAACTGTACTAAATATAAATAAACAATTTATATCAATCGCAAATTCAAGGAACTTCTCGATAAAAATTTCACCAATGGTTATGAGAAAAATTTTATTTCTATATTACAAATACATCAAAGGTATATTAAAATCATAAAAATAATAATGTATAAATTAATCCCATATCAGATGAATATTATAATTTTATTTATATTTAAAATAATCTTTTTTGTATATATGTTATTACTTGCCGAGTATTGTTAAAACTATTTTCCACTACTTTCTTTAAGAACCGCGTGCATACGTACATTTATTATTTAACGTTTTTTATTAATACTACCATTATTATTAACGTACATATGCATTCTACATGCTCTATGTATGGGTATATATAGTACTTGTTGATAAGGTTTGGTATTATATGTAAATATATGCATATTAAATACATTTATAAACATATTCTAAAATGCTATTCGCCGAGTAAACAAAAAAAAAAAAAAAATTCATACAGAATACAAAAAGGTTGAAAATTTTGTAATATTCGCATAGATGGATTATTTAGTGTAATCTTCTATATTAGAACTTTCGAAACAATTGATAAATATAGTACATTGCTATCTAAATCGAGACATTGCCTTAGAGTAAATTGGTTTCAGTAGCTATTTGTTCGATACCTCAACTATTTAGTCTAATATTTAGTAATCCGTTATTATTGAAAATATTCAAAGCTAATATATTCTATAATAAACTAAAATGTAATATCTAATTGGTAAAACTATTTTAGTTCGGTGCTGAAAATACTGCGGTCAAAGGTATTTACATTTTTATTTTATAGCTGTAATCATTATCTATGTTATTAATAATTTTCCCAGGTTATTGTTCACACTATCATAACATCAAGTGTTGATTATTTTAACCATCAACTTTCAATGTTCATTACTACTTGTCCCTGCCACAGCTATCATTTATAATTTTATTCTTAAGTTACTTTTGAGGTTTGAATTAATTGCACTTTTTTCATATTTGGCATACATTCTAGACAGGTTATATTTTTATAATGAATGACTCGTACAGGCACTCGAATCTTACTTAATCGGGCCAAAATATGCTCGTAGTGAATAAAAATAACCTAGAAATCGCCGAGGCTATATGTTATTCGGGAGTACTCATTTCTAGGCCCGTGCTCATGTCAGGATCGGAACGCTCCTCAAGGACAGTGTCTAATTCCAAAGTAGCAAAGGCCCTGGAACCTCGATCAGCTCGAATAGTCAATGCTTTTGGAGGCTTCTCAATACCAGCTGCAATAGATAATTTAATTTGATTAATGCGTTATATCGCCACACGAATGAAATATTCACATAAAAGAAAGAGAATTGCACTTAAGTGTCATTATTCTCATGTATAGCAAACGATCAAAATATTAATATGATCTAAGACATTACCACCATACGATCTCAACTGCAAAATAGCCATCTTTACCATGCCAATTATGATAAGATTATTGATATTGTAAATGAGGATTAATTGATAATCAGATTACGGAGTACTCGGTAATTCACTTATTAATGATATTAATGTAAATATTCAATATCAATGTAATTAGAACGAAGAAGGTAATTATAGGCAATATTTACGAATTTGCAATATTTGGAGTACTTGGAATAAAGTTAACGGGCATCATAACGAATGTCCACACAAAAAGAAAGAGAAATCCGTTGTGTGAAAAAGTAGTACCCTCTAGCTTTCGTACTCTATGTTTACCCATTTTTAAGTCAAAAGCATAATAACCTGACACAAAAGCTACGAAAAAAGAATAGCTCACCTAGTATGAATTTCCAAAAAAAAGTACGTACATATGTTAATAAAGAATAGAGCTTGTATTTTAAAAATTTAAAAAATAACAACTTCATTGTAGCTACACAATTTTTTATAATCTGCCAAAATATAAAGATAAAAAGTACTGTTCATAATGAATATGTACATTATCAAAGGTGGAGAGTGGGGGTGGTGGCGCAGAGGAACGGTGGCATGAGGCAGTGGGGCGGAGGGGGGGGGTGGGATGCAAGAGAGGAAAAGCAAAGGGGAAAGAACGAAAGGCAAACATTTACTCACAAATGAAAACTACGATTCAGTACAATGAGAAATGAAAATCATCTCTAGTGCAAATTAGCATTCTCCTCATCAGGTTTGTTGCATAGAAATATATCACGGAATAACGTTCAATATTCAAACGCAGTAAGAGAGAGTTTAAGAAATTAGTTACATACATTTAGTTTTACGAAATTAACTGTACTTCTAAAATGCAGCCTTGAAATAAATAATTTTTTTTTTTAATAATAATAATGTGAAAGTATAACCGTAACGCGGCTTATTTCTCCTTATTCTTTATTTTTTCATTTATTCTTTATTTTTTTTTTTAATTATTTTAATTTTTGTTTTTTTTTGTTTTTGTTTTTGTTTATATATATATATATATATATATATATATATACACATATAATATAAAACTTCTTTAATCAATAATTTCAATTGCAAATTAAAATACGCGCAATGCAATATCAATTTAATTGCTTAAACTTTTAATTAAATTTCAAAGAAAGAAAAATAATTAGAAATACAAAATATAACCCGTTTTACTTTTCATTATTATTATGATTGTTGTTGTTGTTGTTGTTGTTGTTGTTGTTGTTGTTGTTATTATTGTTATTGTTATTATTTAATTGAAGCAATAAAGTAATAAATGATTAAATTTTTGTCAATTAAATTTATTGTAGAACATTTGTGAAAAAAAAATCGTTCGAGCCAAAAGCAAATGACGATACGGTCTACCTGTATAGCTGTAATTGCACTTTGTTTCAAGGTGTCTTGTTACATTTAAGTATCATTAGTCTTGTTACCGACAAAGTTTTTTTTACTAATTAACAAACAATAACGCAATTCTTGAGTATCGCAGCTTGAGGTTACGATTTTCAATAAAATTTTACTTTGCTCTCTAGTATCAATAAGTGTATTTACTTTTTATATGGAATCTTTACAAAACAAAACAGTAATTTTAGAGTATTTTTAGAATAACATTTAAAAATTTCTCTTTATAAAACGATTTGTAATTCGACGGCTCGATTATTTAAATTTAATTTAAATCAAACATTGAAGAACGAAATTCTTTTTTCCTTATATTAAATTATTTAACACGTAATTCGTATTGATTAAAACGAACATGTAATAGGTAAAGTTTATATAAGTCCACATCGATAACGATATGAATCGTCAAATTTTGTTTTCGGAAATGCAATAAAATTCTATCTTTGCACAAATATTTATAGGAACTCTCTATTGATTAATATTTTCCTTCAATATATCCTCGACTAATAAACGCCATTGCTTTAACGTTGCATGAATAAATAATACACGAATGAGCTGTGGATAATTTAATTCGGCAACCGATAGACCTGTTTTTAATTCATTAATGATTAAGTAAGAAAGGCACGCGATATTAAAAGAATGAGACAACGAGGAGAGGTAGAATGGGAATGAGATCGGCGTGGAAGTGGAGGAGGAGGGGCGAGGAGGTCGCCGTCGTTAAGATTGGCCCTTTTGCGTAAGCGAAGTGCCGAAAAAAGTTAAATCCACACTGGCTCGGCCAAGTGCGGTGTCTCGCGACTTGAGACTTGCAGCCAAGACGATTCCGCTACGAGCCAAGGAGCTTGAATAATGCATAGTCGCGCAAAAAAAAGAAAAAAAAAGAAATAAAAATAGAAAAGAGGGAGAGAGAGAGAGAGAGAGAGAGAAATCAAAAGAAGGTGGCTTCTTTCTTCGACTTTGCGCTACAAGAGAAAGAGGGATAAGATTGGCCTCGTTATCGAGGAGAGCTCACCTAGCCGATGCACCGGGCTGAAGCGCACGAGGCTCAGGGCCCCGTGTTCCACGTCACAGTTCCGTCGCCTCGCTCTCGCCCTCGCGAGCTTCGCCCTCCTCCTGAGACAGCAGATCAGCATGAGCGCCAGCAGCGGGAAGCCGAGGATGCAGGAGACGATGGGCACGATTATGCTCTCCGGCGAGACTGCAATGTGGCGCAGATGTTAGCTCGACGATCGATAGGCGGCCTACGTAGCCGAGAGGCTAATGCCTCTCTCCTCCAGAGATTATGCTAACGAGGCGGCGACTATGTACCCGCGCCCGACTTAAGTCACTCGCCCGATCCCATGGAATATGCTTGCGAATTTGTGAGCGAGCACTGCGCCCGTCACTGAATTACTAAAGTTAACGCGCTATGCCTTAAATACCTATCGGTCCCTTCTTTCATACTTCAGCAGCCGGCCAATTTTATTCCTGCTTAGCTTTTATTTTGAACTTGCGAAACCACCATTCATGCTCATTATCGCGTTTAAGCGAGATGCAACGGTATGTGGGAGCTTCGGTCGACGAAAAGCTAATGACTAATGACTACGAGAACCCCGTCAATTGTATCCTGATCGGCTCAGATTGAAATGCAAGTTCGCATCCCTTACTTATTATCCCACACTTAAACACGGCCGAGTTAATCAATGTGACTGTGAGATACATCCACATCCGGCTTTTATTTGGGCAAAATTTGAGGCTCGTGTGTATTGATAATAACTATGTGGCTGTTGAATTCCCTTAACTGAATTGTTTTGTGACTATTGCGTTTACTTGCGTGAGGATTACTCGATGATTTGAAACGAAGCGTCAACTTTCAGTCAATATTTACCAAGCCGTAACACAAATAATTTCATCTCTTTACAATAATCATATAAAAATAGTATTATAAATAATAGTAAGATACGCTTGAATTATAATCATAAACTGTAATTATTTATCGGGAGAAAAAAACTTATACGTAGATTCGTATCAAAGCTTTAAAAATCGAAGATCGAATTTAGTGTTGGCTTATTATTATTATGAAAATTATACTCAAGTATTACTCCTTTACGTAATACATAATCGTATAAGTAGTAGTAATGCATTATACCGTAATATTAAATTAGATTTTGGTGCTCTTGTGACTTTCTACATTGTCGTGATAATTCATACGATAGGACAAAATCTTTAACTCGAATGCGATTTTAATATAACCTTATGATTAATTTGAAAATTAAAAAGTATCAATCATGGATCATTTTTTAATTTTGGCAATATTTGATTGTTTTTATATATTTGAAATGAACAACCGAAATTCGTTGTACCACTTCTAAATATGTCTGTTTAATAATGTCTTTATCGAACAAAAGTAATAATAAATATTCGTAATTTGATATTCAAAAACATTTCATTAGTATTTTAAGTTTTGTTACTGCTTTATCTTCTATTTAATTAAAGTCATCATTCTTGATTTGTAGGAAGTATAAAATAACAAAGTAGTCTACATATTATCATCATAATGTTTAGTAAAATCCAATGTATTTGTGTAAAACTTGTATATATCATTAGATTTTAAGGATCTTCTTAAAAATTCTCTTTGCTCTTGATAAAACATTCGACTTAATATATGCATGCATGTTTGTGTGTGTGTGCGTGCGTCCGTACACTCGTGAATAAAAAGCTCGCTGCAGCTATTAATAATACATTCACAATAAAAAAATCTCATTATTTATTTTCTTTTTCCTATGATGTGTGTGTTATATATATCTGTCTCCCCCCCCCTCTCCCTCTCTCCCTCGCTCTCTCTCTCTCTCTCTCTCTCTCTCTCTCTCTCTCTGTGTTCGCGCGCAAATGCATTGCAATACCGAATCATTCATGCGCATAGAATGACAGCGAAATATTTACGATTCCAAATCAAATATTCCCATACCACCTACACATATGTATACACGAGTGTGCATAACATTTAGCAGTTAGGACTTAAGAATCCTTTTCAGCTCAAGTTGCTGAGCTTTTCAGATCTTTTTAACCGTACTTTTGCCTCCTCCTTACTTTCAAATATTTTTTAAAAGCTCGACTAAAGTTGTTTGAATGATTTGCTGGCGCATTTCATTAAATCCAATTACACGACTTTCTATAATAATGTTCTGTTAAGACTATTTTATAAAAGCATGAATGGCCGTTTATTAATAATTATTTTAAAAAAATATTTTCCTCAAATATAATATTATTTTCTACGTTTAAATAATAAAACCGCAAATTTAAGTTTAAATGGCTTTTTTTTCATTCTTTTATTATTATTTCCGTAATTTATTAGCAGAGATATTTCTATTTGAATTTGAAACTGATGAAATCCTAATTTGTGAGTGCAAGAATATTCACTTACAATTCACTTTATGTTATCATATTCTGTAAGTAAATATTCCAATAAACTGCAAGTTTAATATAGAATTTAAATGATTAATTAAATATAATGAGATTTATTATAATTAAGAGCTAATGATTTAAACAATGTAACCTAAGTTTGTTATTAAAATATTTTGAGCAATTTATGCGTTGGAAAATTTTTGGCTAAATTTTATCGTCTTAATATTAAATGTACCTTTTAATATGCTCTTATACTTTTGCAATTGCAGTCTTATAATCCTGAAAATATTACTCTATCATATTTTCCACCTCTTTCAAATGAAAAGATGGAATGCATTTATGTGTCCATATCACGAAGCCTAGTAAACTAGTAGGATGGAATATGAATTTCAAGATAAATTTGCTGGATCGATTCCTTTCTTTCTCTCCAAATTTATGGAATTATTTGTAAAGATTCAAGGATTTCGCTATTGAATAGAGAGAGATTTCTTTCACTGATCATGACAATGCCTACGCATTTGAATATTTTTAATAAAGCTCTAGATTTCGTCTCCTAAGATCTTTCGCCTGGAATTTTTTATTTTTCAAACCTTCATACGCCAATTTCTCATCTGAAAATCATACATGCAATTTTTTGCATATAAAATAGTTGCCTATTATCGACCCATCAATAATAAATATTTTATTTTGATGAAACCTTCGGTATATTTCAAATTGCCGAATCGCAATCAATAGCTGAAAATTGATAGCGTTCCGTTTTTTTTTTTTTTAAATCTTGTATTTTAAATTGTAACATATATGAAATACATTTACAATTAAAAAAATATATTATTAAATAATTAAAAAACAATTAAAGATTATTCGGTAGAATAGCCATCTTCCTATGTCCTTAAACAATATATCTCTAACGAAAATATACATTAGTTACTAAGGATTTCTATGGGAACAGTTTTTGTATCGCAGTTTTCAAAATAAGTATATCAGTGGCTAAGTAATTTATCTTACTGAAAAATTTTATAGAGCGATTATCGAATACTATTATTGCGTTTTTATAAAATATGCGATTTTCAATAATTGCAAAAAAGTAATTTTCATACGTTCTTTTATTGCAAACTATAATGTATAATATTAATGTTTACTATTATTTTATTATTAAATCAAGACAAATTTTTTAAATATAAATATTACAAAAGTGCACAAAATTGATATTTATGTTTATCGAGCATGAACCTGCAGGTACAAACAATGTATATTGTAAATATAAAGGAATTTTTTTCAAATTTTTGTTTTGTTTGGTTTTGTTTTGAAAATAAAAGCTAATTTAAGCAAGTATCAACTTCTTTAATCATTTGTTCATAAAGTAGCTGGCAAATTTTTTGTGTAAAACAATAAAAAAACTCTCACAAGATGCTAAAAGGTAGCAAAACTGCCGTATTAGATGTTAAACAAATACTGTATAATCATTCAGAGAAATATACAGAGAGCGAGAGAGAGCGAGAGAGAGAGCGAGAGAGAGAGAGAGAGAGAGAGAGTGATAGAGAGAGGGAGAGAGGGGGAGGGGGTTCTACAATAAAACGAGCATTGCGACAATTGCAAGTCGTCTAATTAACCTGAAAATTGAAAGCCGACATTAGAAGCGAATTGCCAACCACACGCGAAAGTTATTTATCCGACCAATAAAATAAGTTGGAGCTCGACTGCTAATTGATCGGTATTATTCTATACTTGTCACTTAGAGTGCCATATCTCCGTGTCGTTGGCTGGCCAAATAAATAATAAACGCAAATGTGTACATTAATGTCATTTTTTTAATGCCCTTTGTCATAGCTATTAACAGCCGAGATAAAAAGAAAAGAAAAGAGGTCTGCCGATAATTTGGCGAAATGCCTGAGATTCGGTCAGGATTCGGTCACAAAGTATCGTGCCGTTCTTCTTATCTTAAGCTGGCGTGACTGAATTCTGTAGTTTGTCGACTGAAAAATCTTTCCTGCTGCGAAAATAATTTTGCAATTAATTGTCCAGAATTGAAGCAATAAACCTTTTTTTGTTCCGTATTTATATCTAAGAGAGCAATAGTTGCACTAATTATAATTAAAAGCCGCAAAATTTTATATCTCCATTTGGGGGTTTCCCATAAATAAAAATAAGAATAATTATTCTTTGCTCGAAAATTAACAGAAGCAAAAAATAAATATAAAATTAACATCATTGTCTGATGTGATAAAAAAAATGAAGTATTTATAAAACATTGTAATTTACCAGTCTTGGCGAATACGTTGCCAAGTTTAGAAGACAGCTTTATTGAAAGTACAAAAACAGGACAGAATTGGTTTAAAAAAAATAGACGTATCAAGTTTATTTTACACTCAAATATAATGTAATTGAAACTACACAATATTAAGTCGTTTCTTACAAGAACAATATGAATCTTTTCACGATCGTTGAATATCATTTGTGCTTTGCTGGAGGAAGAAATGTGCTCAGCGAATAGCACACATTTCAATGAATAATTCAATTCTTTTTTTCTTTTTTTCTTTTTTTTTTTGCAAAACAGAGAGTGAGAGAGAGAGAGAGAGAGAGAGAGAGAGAGATCTTTCTTAACTCGGTTAGTCTACAGTGACCATTTTTGTTTTTACATCTAATATTTGAATTTTCATACGGCCCATTTACCGCTACCCGAAGGTAAAACTTTTCCGCCTTCCTCGTTCGCGTTAATTATCTTTTATGATTTATTATTAAGTAGACCGACTAATAAAGACGTGTGAGTATACGCAGTGAGTAATTTACATAGGACTACAAAGAAGATTTAAAATA